CGGTTATGGCTGTGTATATGCCATTTGATGGTAGGTGAAATCGACAGAGGGTTTATGGACGGATGCATTTGAGTTAGATGGACGACAGACGGTATGGACTGTGATTGCATTGAGTGTAAGGTGAATCGATCAGGGGAATGTGTACGGTACATGCCAATGATGTGTAGCATGGAATCGACAGATGGACGACGGATGCATTGATGTAGATGGATCGACAGGCGGAGCACGATGCATGCATTGTAGATGGATCGACAGGGAATGGAAAGACGGCATGCATTGAGGTGATGTGATCAACAGTATGTGACGGACGGATGCATGATGGTAGATGGATCGACAGATGGACAGACGATTGCTTGATGTAGATGATCGACAGATGGACGACGGATGCCATTGATTGTAGATCGATCGACAGATGACGGGAGGAGTTGCATTGATGGGTAATGTGGATCGACAGGCTTTCGTCTGGGTGTGGTTGTATGACGGACAGAGTTGTCTATGTGATGGTAGTAGTGGATTCACACGGATATGGTACGCTTACGGTCTGATGCTCATGTTTGATATGGGTTAGTGATGTGAGCGACAGTTATATGCCGGACTAGTACGATGCATTGATGGTAGGTGGTATTCGAAGGTTATGGTACGGTTACGTTGTAATGGTGCTATTGGATGGTCACGTGGTGGGATTGACTCAGGTGATAGCGTACGTACATGATGCATTGATTATAGATGTATTGAACAGACGGTACGTTGTACTCGTGTGCTATGGATGACGTTAGATGCGTTATCGTACAGTCTGGTTACTGGAATTTTTTACGGTGAGTTGCATTGATTGGGTTAGATTGGGATCTGGGTTACAGTGTGATCGTGGGTGTTACGCACGGATGCATTGATGTGTAGATGCGATCGACAGCACCGCTGAGACGGATGCATTCGATGGTAGATGGATCGACAGATGGACGGGACGGATGTCATTGATGCCATAGATGGATCAGACAGTCTTGCGACGAGGATGCATTGATTGGTAGCATGCGATCGTACGACTGAGTGCGGTATTGCAGTTGATGGTAGATGGATCGAACAGACGGACGGATGCATTGATGGTAGATGGATTGACAGACGGACGGACAGATGCATTGATGGTAGATGGATCGACAGACGGACGGACGGATGCATTGATGGTAGATGGATCGACAGATGGACGGACGGATGCATCGGACTGACGAATCGATGGGCGGGGTGGCATATCGCTGACGTGTGCGCGCCAATTCTCGCCAGGTGATTCTAGAGGACGTGGTCATGCTGGACATCAAGCCTGACATGTACAGCCACACGTCGGACCACTTTGCGACAATACTGGGCATGTGCGAGAAGCTGCTGAGGGATGGACGCGCGTACGTCGACGACACGCCGGCCGAGAAGATGAAGCAGGAGCGCGAAGCCAGAGAGGAGTCGCAGAACCGCAGCAACTGTAAGTGACTGCTGTCCTCGGCTGCTCTCTCCATGCCTCACGCCTTCTCTAGCTTCCTTCCTCGTTGGTTCCCTTTCTCACTCCGTCCCTCTCGTACTCCATCCCTCAGTCTCACTTGGTATGTCGCTCTGTTTCTCCTTTACTCCCTCTCCATTCCTCACTTGGTACGTCGCTCTGTTCCTCCTTTACTCCCTCTGTCAATCCCTCCTGTACTCCCTCTCTCCATTCCTCTCTTACTCTCACTCTCCAGCCCACCCTTATTCATTTCCTATATTTCTATTTCTCTCCATTCCTCTCTATATCTCACCCTTCCTCCCTCTCACGCTCCATCCCTCCGTCCCTCCCTCTCTTCCTCCTTCCTCCTTCTTTTCTCCTTCTTTCCTTCATTCCTTCCTTCTTTCCTTTCTTCCTCCCGTGTTTCCTTTCTTTCTTCTTTCTTTCCTTCCCTCCTTCTTGCCTTCCTTCCATCCTTACTGCCCTCCTTCATTGCCTCCATTCCTCCATTCCTCCATTTCTCCACCTCTTCCTCCACTCCTCCCTCCTCGCAACAGCGGCGAGGGATCCCATTCGTTAGTGAGAAATCCTTAACGAGAAACCCTCGTTAGCCAACACGAGATGCGCTTGCCACTGCAGCAAGAAATAAACAAGCAAACGCTGCAGCGTTTACATGTGTTGATGCAGCGGGGTTTCGGCTCGGGTTTAATTAAGACGGCGCCTCGCCACATAATCTCCATGCAGGAAGCAGGAAGAAGTGGGCGTGCAATAATGAGAGCGGCCGTGTTTTTGCTGGCGCTCCTACATTGTAGCGAAATTGCGAATCTATTTGCCGGACATGACATTGTATTTACGCGGATTATTGAGTTCACGGTCTTAATTGAGTTGCGCTGCTTTCGCGCACGTAGTTCGTGTGGAAGTTGTAGCGTTTCAGTCTAGAATTTTGAATGCCGACTAGTTGCGTTACTGTGCAATTACGATGTATGCGTCATCGCTGTGGCGTGTTTCGCTAATAACCCCAACCCCCGTCGCGGCCCTCCCATGTGTTGATGCACGTACGAGCAATTCGTCATGTCCCTCATGCGCAGGCAAACAGGCCTGTAATTTAACACAGTTACGTCAGTGTGCGGCGGTGTAGCTTATCAGGCGTTAGGGTAATTAACTATACTGGCAATCACGAGCGTTGTGATTGATGCACGAAAATCGCTTGCGTATTCTTCACGATAAACCGCCCCTCTTCCGTTTGATTACCGCCGAAGTCTGAGACTCTGATCGCCGATTCAGTTGATGAAATGTGGGTCTTACCGTTCGCAATCTCAAATCCTCTGGGTTGTGTGATCCTATCTATATACTTCAAGCGTTTGCGCTCTAGTACGGTTACGTAGGCAACCCGGGCTATGGCAGCCAGGGTATAACGGAAAAAAACTGGCGCACCCTGACCCACAAAATATGCCTGTACAAGCAGAGGGTGCAGATGTGCAGGGTACTCGTCTCCCACTAATTTCGATGGGTGAAGTTGCCGCTTGCAAACTTTACACGATTTTTGTCACGTGTCGCGGGCTTCAGACTCGTAAACGAGCGGTCACAGGCACTTGGAGCGTCTCAATAAAGAACAATAGTGCTAAATATACTTATATATAATACACTATACAGTAACCGTGCAGAGGCGTGCGTGCGGTGTACGTGTGTGTTGCAGAGGAGCATTTGAACGGCATTTACAGGAAATCAATATCGGCAATAATAGGCGAAAGAGAGTACTTTGGTAGTAAATACATATCGTGTTTATTTCGCATTATTTTTCTTTATTGAGACGCTCCATGTGCCCGTGCGAGCGCTGGTGGTCGCTGGGGGGATGAATGTTAGAGCATTAGGCGGCAATGAAAGCTATGCAGGATCGAGGTCGCCGAGCTTGCTGGCTGTCTCTCGCGTGTCTCGGCGGCGGCTGGCGAAGATTTCAACTCGTCCGTAAATACGCCGTCTCCACGTTGAATGATGGCTTTTTTTTTACACGTCGGCACGGCGGGAGCCTGTGGCACGCGTGATTACTGTTCCTCGTCTTCGGCGTGGATTCGTTTTTTTGGCACTCGTGCGAACGTAATAGAATTTTCTATCTCCCCGTGAAGACTGGCGCTGCTCGTTGGGTTCGGTTCTGATTTGACGGTCGTCGTTTCGATGGCAACCGAGTGTCGGAGCGTGTTTTCTCAAAAACCGAGCAATTTTTGTTGTGATTCTATTGCGGCATACGAGGTTCATATTGCGGCATACGAGGTTCATATTGCGGCATTTCCTTCTAAGTTTTGCGAGCTGAATAGACGATGTGCCGTGATATAGAGATAGTCGATATACGCTCACTGCTATGCCGTCCTAAGATGAGTCAGTCTATTGCGTCGGTTTATTGAATGAGGAGCAATGTACAGCAGCTTACATGTTTTACTTTTTCGCGGGTTGATTATTTTTCTCGGTGATATATTTGATAGAAATGTGTAGCCAAGCCGAGTAGGGCTACATACTACTGCTAATGCTACTAATACTACCATATACTGCTGTACTATATTCTACTCTGCTGGGCTCCATTTGACTTTAAATTTGTATGTATAGGTATTATATAAGGCTGTACGTTATTGTGAAATTCTGCAAGTGTGTCGCCAACCTTTGAAGAACGGCGTATACATTGTTTATGCATACTACTACTAGGGTATTTTTATGCAGCCCGTGTCCTGTGCACACACGCACACGCACGCACACACGGGCGAGCGCACGCACGCACGCAGCATGTCTGCACGTACCTATTGTTTACTCCTCTATGTGCTGTGGACTGTGATCCAACTTATAGGAATGCTATCAGTATAATCCACTTCAATAGCGTTTAAAAAAAATGAATGCAAGCAGAAAACAACAACAGTTTATAAGTTGGGTGAAAAACTGTTGGGAGCCGTGCAGGCGAATCTTTAATCAGTTTTGCGCGCGCATGCATATTTTTGTCGCGGGGTGTCTTGGCAGTGTGTTTTTCTCGGGTCGTTGCTAACTGAGACGTTAGCAATTTGTCAATCACTCAGGTACGCTATAATTTTTAAAGTACGGACCGGGATCTATATGATCTATCTATCTCGGATGTTCTATATGCTCGGCTGCCATTATAAAAATATTGTTTGTTTGCCCTCACCCGACCGACCACCCAAAAAGGGGCCGACTCAAACATTTTTATTGATCTTTCCCATTCTTCCTATTGATCTTTTTACAAATTGTATCACTGTACATTATATAAATCTGTAGGCAATACATTATATGTACCAAGCAAAACAAACATTCAACATAAAAGGTATCTCCACACAAGCACACCGAGGGTGTGGACACCACGCTGAATTTGTAAAAAGACCCCCTTCAAAAAAAGAAGCCTACCTACCTACCCAAACTTTTTAGCCTGGGTCGGGTGATCGAGGGCAAACAAAGATTTTTTTAATTGTGGCTTGACGGCCGCCAGGCGTTCGTGCAGTGGGGATAAAGAAGATGGTCGAGGCGGGTTTTGTTTGCATTGCACAGTGGGCGGAATTATACATTATTGTAGACGCGTTATGCGCACTACGGAAGTAGAAGTTCTGCAAGAGACTATAGAGATAAGACAAGACAAGAAGTAACGTCAACTAGCGTTTCACTCAATCTCTAACACGATACATCAGTTCTCAGTGCACTATCGAAAAGAAGAGCGTTTACTACAACGGTAACCGTATCATGCACTTACATCTTTCTCAGCGGGTGTTGCTTGTACAAAAGATCCTGAGGAGGGGCGTCCCTCACTATTTATACGTTGTGACTCGGACCCACGACCCCTTCCTCCACGTCACCGGTCTCGTTTTAGCTCCCCCTTGGCCAATCGGCCTTACCGAATAAGGTGCGGTAAGCATTACAACTACTGAATTACACTACCGAATAAGGTGGGGTAAGCATTTCGCACTTGGCTCGAATCCATGGTCCGATTCTGGCCCTGGTGTCAGCATAGTCATCTACAGGTTGGCACTTTCGCGGTCGGTATCTAGAGCTGCCTGTCACAATCCGCAAGAGTTCGGGGATTCATGACTGTGATTTCCGAGCCACGGCTCGCTTTGATCTCAGGCCCGACCGCTGACCTTCCCGTCTCTGTTTTATACATTTCTCCTGACACCGGTTTCGTTCCCGCATCGCCATCGCTTCCCTAGCGTGTGGGATTTGCCCGCTTACACTATAGTTGCGCAGGTTGTTTGTTCTCATATAATCTAGAGTCAGACCAGTGGTTCCCAACATGGGGTCCCCGGACCCCTGGGGGTCCGCAAGGATAGTTCTGGGGGTCCGTGAGCTAAGTTCAAAATTTCAAGAGGCTCCAGCGTAAAATGTAAAATTACTCACGATAGGCTGCTAAAGATAAACTTTCAAAATTTCATGTTTCGTTGTTCTTGGATGTAATATTATCAGGAGTAAGATAATATAGGATCCTAGATCCTATATCTAGGATCCTATATATATCTATCCTATAGATATCCTATCCTATCCTATCCGATCCTATATATATCTATCCTATAGATATCTAGGATCTAGGATATCTAGGATCCTAGATCTAAGATCCTATATTATCTTACTCCTGATATTATCAACTCAGTATGGCAACATTGCATGGTTGTGCGGGGTAGATATGTTTTAGCTATTAAATTCTAACTCTCTCAATTAGAAATATTGATGGTGATTAAGTGCTAGGTAAACATTACTGGTTTAATACAATTTGTATTTGGCTTCGTAGGGTCACCTGCATGGTCAGGTAATACCTTTCAAGGTAGCGTTAATGTTCAGCGATGGTTCGACCACCTGGCCGCACAGCCACAGTTCAAAGGTGCGCTTACTCAAGTGCCTGGACTCGCGACGAAGCCTGCAGAGAAAAAGGTACCAGTTTTAACATTTGCTTTCTCGTTGGCTGCCTGTCACCTCTGGCTTTATAGTATTGCGATCATGGTACTTGCAAGAATAGCTTGCCAAATGCTGTAATCACAGACAGAAGTGTTTAGTGGCAGCTGTGGTATATAGTCTCCAAATCGCAAAACCCGTGCCTGCCATTCCTCGCGTAAAATCTGCAGTGAAAATGGCCCCAGTGTGTGAATGGGTATGCTTTTCTAGACTGCCGTTCACTGCAGTTTCATTAGGTTCTCTAACCGTGTGTATGTGCACATTTTCTAAAGGAAGGAGTAGATAAGAATAGAAGGGAAGCGCCAGCCAAAGAGAAAATGAAAGACGAGGGCAAGTTCGTCGAGCTTCCAGGAGCGGAGAAGGGCAAGGTTGTTGTTCGCTTTCCACCTGAAGCCAGTGGGTGAGTAGGCGGTCCTAATCCACTACATTTAATCTCACAGTGTGACACCAATTCCTGTTGTTACCAAGCAGCATCACTATAGTGAAACCTGCATTTAAGGATCACGGATTGAAAGCCTAAAAGTATCCGATATAAACAGGTGTCTGTTTTATAGATGGGAAACTTCACCCCCTATAGCTCTGCATATATGTATCTGACACTCTAGAGAAACACCCAAAGTATTCTCTACCTATAGTGTGTGTCCATTTTTAGCTCATCTGACATAGTCAGATGAAGCTTGTAGAATCGCATGAGCGTGCGTCCGTGCGTCAACAGTTGGGCACAAATCTTAATCGCTTGACGTACGGTCACGATATTCGGGACGTTGAGGGGGATCGTCAAAACGAGTTCTCTAGCCCCGCACAACAATGTGCCAATACTGATGTTTGCATAGATATTCCGAGAAAGGGTAGATAAGAGGAGATTCCACGGGCATACCATATGAGATAATAGGATTCGCCTGACCCGATCTACACGGATCTGAGCCTCCTGTAGGATATCTCCATAGGAGTTAGAATATAGTATGAGCGAGTCGGATAGGATAGGATTAGAATGATCGGTATAGGAACTATATGAGGTAGATAGGATCATGTAGATATAGGATCTAAGATCCTATATATATCTTACTCGCTGATAATAATTACCATCACAAGAACAACGAAACAGTGAAATTTTGAAAGTTTATCGTTAGCAGCCATCGTGAGTAATTTTACATTTTACGCTGGGGCCTCTTAAATTTTGAACTTGCTCACCAGACTATCCTTGGCAGCCCCCAGGGGTCCGCGGGACCCCCATGTTGGGAACACTGGTGCTGACCTCAGATTATCGAGAACAAACAACCTGCGCAACTTAGTGTAAGCGGGCAATCCACACGCTAGCGCGAGGAATCGATGGCGAGCAGGGAACGAAACCGGGTGTCAGGGAAAGTACAAACAGACGACGCGATAGGAAGGTCGCGTGGACTGAATCAAAGCGAGGCAGCCGTGGCTCGGGACTGAGCGGCTAGCCGGAAACGCACGCGGAGTCGATGAATCCGCCGAAAATTCTGCGGATTTGTGACAGGCAGCTCTAGTACCGAGCCGCGAAGGCTGCAAAACTGCCAACCTGTAGAGAATATGCTGACACCATGGGCCAGAATTGGACCATAGGATTCGAGCCAAGTGCCGAAATGCCTTAGGCCCCACTCTTCTCGGTAGTGATAATTCACTATGTAATACTTACCGCACAGTTATCGCTAAAGGCGATTGGCCAAGGGTGAGCTAAAACGAGACATGACGTAAGAGGAAGAACGCGGTCGTGGGTCGAAGTCACGACGTATGAAATACGTGGAGGGAACTACCCTTACCTATCAGGAGCTTTATGTAACAAGCGACAACACGCCCCTGAAGAAGGCGCGAAATGCGTGATACGGTTTACCGTTGTACGTAAACGCTCTTCTGTCTTCGATAGGGGCACTGAGAACTGATGTATCGTGTTAGAATTGAGCTGAACTGCTTAGTTGACGTACTCTTGGTCTTGTCTTATCTCCTATAGTCTCTTGCAGAACTTACTACGTCCGTACCTGTGGCATAAACCGCGTCCACAATAATGTATAATTCGCCCACTGTGCAATGCAAACAAAACCCGCCGTCGACCATCTTCTTTATCCCCACTGCACGAACGCCTGGCCAGCCGTCAAGCCACAATTAAAAAAAATCTGTTGTTTGCCCTCACCCGACCCAGGCCCTAAAAGATTGGGGTACGTAGGGTAGGCTTCTTTTCTTTGAAGGGGTCGTCGTGGTTTACAAATCAGCTTGGGTGTCCACACGCTCGCGTGTGCTTAGTGTGGAGACCCTTTTATGGGAATGTTTGTTTTGCTTTGGGACAATAATCGTCATTGCCTACAATTTATATAACTGTACAAGTTGATACCAATTTGTAAAGATTAATAGGACAGAGATGGCGGAAGATCAATTAAAAATGGTTTGAGTCGCGCCCTTTTTGGGGTGGTCGTCGGGTTGGGCAATACGAACAAATCATTTTTTATAATGGCAGCCGAGCATATAGAACAGATCCGGTCCGTACTTCATAGCGTACCTGAGTGATTGACAAATTGCTAACGGTCTCAGTAGCAACGACCCGAGAAAAAAAAACACACTGCCAAGACACCCGCGACAAAATATGTCATCGCGCCGCGCAAAAACTGATTAAAGATTCGCCTGCACGGCGCTCCCGCAACAGTTTTTCACCCAACTTATAAACTGTGGTTGGTTTTTCTGCTTGCATTCATTTTTTTAAACCGCTATTGAACGGTGAAATATACTGATAGCACTTCCGTGATAAGTTGCGAATCACGCGCAGTCCACAGCACATCAGAGGAGTAAACAATAGTACGTGCAGACATGGCTGCGCGCGTGTGCGTGGTGTGCACAGGACACGGGCTGCAGTAAATAATACCGCTAGTAGTAGTAGCGATAAACAATGTATACGCCGCTTCTTCAAAGGTTGGCGACACACTTGCAGATTTGGCACAATAACGTACAGCCTATATATATAACCTATAAAAAATGGAAAGCCAGTCGAGTCGAATATAGTTAAGCAGCTATATGCGTGTATTAGTGACAGTAGCGAAGAGTATGTAGCCCTATCGCGTTGCGCTACAACACTTGCTATCAAGATATCACCGGAGAAAACAATAATGCACCCCGCGAAAAAGTAAAAGCGTGTAAGCTGCTGTACATCCTGCTCGCTCATTCAATAAAACCGACGCAATTAGACTGACTCATTTCGACAGCATACGTACGTGATCGGATATCACGGCACCATCGTCTATTCAGCTCGCCAAAACTTAAGAAGGAAATGCCCGCAATATGAACCTCGTATGCCGCAATGAGAATGACATACAAAAATTGCTCGCGTTTGAGGAAAAAACACAGCTCCGCACTCGCGGTTGCCATCGAACACGACGACGTCAAATCAGACCCGAACCCATAACGACGCAGCGCCAGTCTTCACGGGGGGAGCATACGAAAATTCTATCATATATTAGCGGTCTCCGCACGAGTTGCCAAAAAAACGACATCCACGCGAAGACGAGGAACAGTAATCACGGTTGCCCACAGGCTCCGCTCGCGCGCCGAACGTGTAAAAGAAGCATCATCTCAACGTGGAGAGTGCGTATTACGGCACGAGTTGGAAATCTTCGGCAGCCGCCGCCCGAGACACGCGAGAGACAGCCAGCAAGCCGGGCAGGACCTCGATCCTGCATAGGCTTTCATTGCGCCTAATGCTTAACATTCAGCCCCCAGCGACCACCGGGCTCGCACGGGCACATGGAGCGGATCTCAAGTAAAGAAAAATAATGCGAACTAAACCACGATACTGTCATTTAATACCAAAGTACTCGTTCTTTCGCCGTAATTTTGCCGATATTGGATTTCCTGTAAGAATGCCGTTCAAATGCCTCTCTGCAACACACGACGTAACACCGCAGCACGCCTCTGCCACGTTTTACATGCGTTATGGATTACTATATAAGGATTTAGCCTATTGTTCTTTATTGAGACGCTCCAAGTGCTCGGCTGTGAGCCGCTCGGTTTACGAGTCTGAAGCCCGCGGACACGCTGACAAAAATCGTGTAAAAGTTTGCAAGCGAGCAACTTCACCACTCGAATATTAGTGGAGACGAAGTACCTGCCACAGTCTCCACCCTGCTTGTACAGGCATACTTTATGTGGCGTTTTAGGCGCTGCGCCAGTTTTTTCCCGTTATACCCTGGCTGCCATTAGCCGGTGTGCCTACCTAACCGTACTATGAGCGCAAACGCTTGAACGTAATATAGAGAGATCCACACAACCCAGAGGAATTTGAGATTAGCGACGGTAAGACCCCATTTCCATCAGACTCGAATCGGCGATCAGAGCTCAGACTCGGCGGTTAATCAACGGCAAGAGGGCGGTTTATCGTGAAAGAATACGCAACCGATGTTCGTGCATCAATCACCAACGCTCCGATGCCATTGACCCAGTATATAGTATAATTACCCTAATCGGCTGCCTGATACAGCTGACCACCGCCCGCACACTGATCCGTCAACTCTGTGTCTAAATTTACAGGCCCTGTTTGCATCGCGCATGAGACATTGGCGAATTCGCTCGTACGTCGATCAACACATGGGAGCGGCCGCGACGGGGGTTGGGCTCTACTCCGTAGCGAACACCGCCACAAGCCATGACTGCATACATCGTAATTGCACAGTTAACGAGAAACTAGTCGGCATTCGAAAATTCTAGGTACTCGAAACCTACACACTTCCAACACCGAAACTACGGCGGTGCGGGGGGGGCGGGCTGACGAGACCGCAACCCAATTAGCACGTGAACGGTGCAGAAGAAATGCCGCCGGTAAATACAATGTCGATGTCACGGCAACATAGGATTCGCAATTTCGCTACATTGTGAGGAGCTCGGCAGCAAAAACACGGGCCGTCTCATTATTGCACGCCACTGTCTCTGCTTCCTGCATGGAGATGAGTGTGGAGGCGCCGTCTTTAATTACAACCCGCAGCCGAAAGCCCACGCTGTACATCACGACACATGGTTAAACGCTGCACGGCGCGTTTGCTTGGTTTAGATTTCGTCTGCCTGCAGTGGCAAGGCGCATCTCCGCCAGGGGTGCGCCGCCGCGGGCTCAGACCCGTGTGGCTACCGAGGGTTTTTCTCGTTTAAGGATTTCTCACTAACGAATGGAGATGTCCCTCGCCCGCTGTGTGCGAGGAGGACGGCGAGTAAGGAGTGGAGGCGAGAGCGTGGAGAAACTGGAGGAATGGAGAGTAAGGGGAGGCAATGAAGGAGGGGCGGCGCCAGTTAGGACTGTAAGGAAGGGCAAGAAGGAGGGAAGGAAAAGAAAGGAAAGAAAGCGAAACACGAGAGGAAGAAACGGAAAAAGGACAGGAATGAAGGAAAGGAAGGGAGAAAGGAAAG